TACTTTGTGACCAGAGTCGCAGAAAGAATTAAGTTTGTGAGGAGCTGGGGAGATAGCTCAGCGGTCTAAGCAACTGCCTGGCAAGCTCAAGGACCTGGGTTCAATCCCCAGTACCGTATGCCATGTGCACTGTGCCAGCCACCAAAACTGAGCACGGTGGCACACAGCTGTAATATAGACAGATGGATAGATAGATAGATAGATAGATAGATAGATAGACAGAGAGACAGATAGATAGAGATATAGATAATTACGATCCTAATTTCTATTAGTTCATTAAAAAGAATGGCTTGTGCTTATATTGTTTTCACGCCTCTATCTTATAATCTGAGAAACTACTTTGAAGCTAACAATATGTACTACATTAATCATTGTTATTCCATTATTATGTTTCAAACTTCTTCTGCATGATTATTTTTATTGTTTTTCCCCTTTGAAATAAAAAAAAATTAAATGCATTGAGCCATCAGGAGATTACTACAGATTACCTTTGGCCGCTACGATTACAGCAGGTAACCAGAGTGGCGGCCATGAGCTTCCACATGCTTACAAGTACGGAGAACTGTTGAAGTGTGTGTACACTGTCTCTCTACAAATGGCTCATGGTGCCTCGGCTCCAAAATTTGATTCTTTCCATGATTCTGTTTGCAAGGCAAATTGGAAAAGGACAGAATCAAATTCCATGGTTTCATTCTGTATCATGGACAGATTTAATTTTATTCTCCTCCAAAATACTTGTGACCAGAGTTGCAGAAAGAATTAAGTTTGTAAGGGACTGGGGAGATAGCTCAGTGGTCTAAGCAGCTGCCTGGCAAGCTCAAGGACCCGGGTTCAATCCCCAGTACCATATGCCATGTGCACTGTGCCAGCCACCAGAACTGGGTGTGGTGGTGCACAGCTGTAACCCCAGCTCGGGGGGGGCTGAGACAGGAGGATCACTATGCGTCTGAGCTACCTGGTAAGACCATGCACCAAATAAACTAATTAATTAATTAATTAATTAATTTAAAAAGAAGGAAAGTTAAGTTTGTGAGCCATTGTACTAATGCATCTTTGTCTGTATCTATCTGTATCTATATTTGTTTCTACACGCATAATTTTTTGTTTTTCTGCCACTTTATGACTAATGTGTCCAATAAGTACTACCTTTTTATATAAACATTAAATTTTTATCCTATGGAATTATTTTCCATTAAACTGTGGAATAGGGAAAGCGATTAAAATGGTCCCCAGCACTTTTTCTTTTGAAAAGGAGAGTGTGTGGATGACCATGAAAATATGTGAAGCTAAATATGAAAAGTGAAATAGATTGGATCTCATGAACTTTATTACTCACAGTAGGAGCTCTTTACTCTTTAAGTCAAAATATTTAAACGCAGTAACCATTTCTCAATTGAAACATGAGTATTTAATTTCATTTAGTAAAGTCTTAATATAGTGTTTTTCATATTTATACATGTAACTATGCTGGTGATTGTAGATAAACAACAATTATCCTCATAAACTGAAACCACCTCATTACTATCAATGTACATGCACTGCAGAGAACGGGCCCCCAAAGGTTTGATTTTATTTCCACTCCCAAGTAGAGGAACAATATTCAAGCAAACACACCTTCCCTGATGTGAAAGGGAGTCTCAGCACCTCCTGTGAACTTCAGAAGTTTCTTCATAAAAGCATTGAGCCAGTATTTCCTAAACCTATCTATGCTTTTTCTACAGGCCTCCACACTTCAATTCCATCTGTTATTTTTAGAAACTCCCCTTTAAACATATGGCCTATGCTCAAAACTAATGCCTACCATTGCTACAGGATGCCCTGTCATCTTATTCTATCTGTCAATATCTAGACATGACCCTTCCACACAGTAAGTAGAAGCATTGGTTTGCAAACTTGTGATGTATTATAGGAAGCGGAAATGGAGAACTAGAAAGGAAAGTCTGTACACTGACAGCCGCGGTGCTTTTTGACGTTTCCTGGGCAACAGAGTGATGGATGACAGGGGCTATTGAAGGCAAAAGGTAGAAGGCTGAAATGAATGTGGTGAGAAAGATAAAAGAACGAAGTAGAAAAGAGCCATAGGGTGCATGAGTGTGTGGCACTCCCTGTTTCTGCTGTGTTCTGTGTTCTAAGCATCCACTGTATAGACAGCTCTTCAGGACCACACACAATCAGAAAATCATCAGGCAAGGAAATCCTCTCACAATGGTAAGCACCAAACACTGGAAGACTCTGGGGTTTTTTGTTTTCTTGTTTGTTTGTTTGTTTGTTTGTTTGTTTGTTTGTCTTTTTGATACAGGGTATTGCTACACAGTTCAGGCTGGCCTTAAGCTCACTTTGTAGCCCAGGCTGGTCTCAAACTCACAATTATCCTCCTACCCCAGACATGTGTGGTATTTTTGAATTGTGACTTGAACATACTAACGACAAAGGCCAGAGAGTAAGAGACCAACTTACACGTCACAGAAAGTTCCCCCAAAGCCTATGGTCTTCTGCTGTTCATCAGAGACAAGCATTGTGAGTTATCGTGAGAATATGGGAATATTGATGTACCTATACAGTAATGTCGAAATTTTTCCTGAGCATTACCAAGCACCTAGTCCTATAGTAGGAAGATGTCATTCAAACCTAGGAAGATGTCCCTGTCCAACCTGTTCTCATCCATCAACCTTTCCTGGTTCTAGGCAATGTAGGACGGACCCTGGTCATTAAATGAATGCAACACGGAGCACACCACACATTTCTTCCTTCAGTCAGCTCTTGCTGATTTCTGCCATGCTTCTTTCTCAAAAACAAAATAGGAGTGAAGATATTGTGGGATGAAAATGTTACATTTTCTATGCCTGCACATCTCAGCGTGTTTTCTGCCTGTCATTATGGATCGGGGCTCGCTTCTGGCTTCCATGGTCATTCATAATCCCTGTTGCAGGGATCACAGTATCTAGAAACCTGCATTCAGCACGTAGCCACCCCAACTGCAGTAGCTCTTGGTAACCTTGCTTCTTGCCACCCTCACTTTGTGCCTCACTGCCTGCCTTTCTGATACAACCAGACTCTGCAACACCCTGTCCTTTCTGCCCTTAAAACCAAACTCTAGGTGTACCCTTGGAGAAGGAAAGATGGTCCCTGTCTCAGCAAAGATTCCTTCCCATGGTGGGACCTTGAACTTACAGCTTTAGCAAGACGGTGAGGCGAAAGCCCAAAAGAACATCAGTAATATCCAACATTTTCTGTTCATGAAAGAAAAATCACTTCCTTAAACAAATATTGTACTCAGTTTTCAATCCGTTTTCTCTCCAAATGAATAAAATTAATAGAACTTCTTGGTCTTTATTGACTCAATAAATAAATATTCACCATAAGAATCATTCTCTTCATTCTTTGGATGCAGATTTTATTTACAATAGGTTTCCCAGCTAGTACATGCAATAACAATGGATATTAAATACTGTTGCTCACAGAAAAGTACATTTTAAAAAGTTATTACCTCAGTCAATTACACACAATTTTATTTACCAAGAATATACAAGAGAACAAAAAAAAAAAGAATAGATAAGAGTAAGGGGACTTAAGCATGTCAGGATAAGAATATTAGAGAACTTCAATAGTGTATTAATAAAAGTCTCATAATACTACATTTGAATGTAAATTTCAATAATTTATTCTGAATTAAACTTAATAATATTTTCCAAACCAATCACAATGGATTGTAATCCACTGCTGAATTTGTTGTTGAACCCAGCAGCTTCAAGTGTATACCCTCCCCAAGGATACTTTTGTATATGGCTATATCTCTAGATCAGACTGATTCCAGTGTTGATGGGGAGTATAAGGAAAGAATCACTATCTCGTGTGGAGAGGACAGGTGTGCTCCAACAATGACCTATGGCTTTCAA